TCAAGCAGAAGACGGCATACGATTTACTATTCTCATTGTAGATGGACCTTAAAATTTTCATTTGTAAATTTTTTCAGATAATAAACATTTTTTACTAAAAAAACATTTATAATATTTTCATATTTTAATTTAACAAAACATAAAACTCACTTCCTCTTTGGTATGGGCTAGTTCTTCTTCAAGACTCGTATTTCTTTCGAGGGCCACGCGCAAACGTTCACGTACCTGGAATTTTACCAGCAACATTAATCATTTAATTACAAACATTGTACATACATATATTTATGTATATACAATCATGCATACACATAACAGTCAAAAGATGTGAGAATATTGTGTTAATTTCATATCCATCTTAAGAAAGAAAGTACACTTAAAAATGATCATTACTTTGTAAATTTTTTATAAAGTCCTGTATATTTTAAGCAACATAAAATAATTTTCAGATATACCTAAATGTTAAAAAAAAGAGATCGAGGCCATTGTTTTTTTTCAAAAATAAAAATAAAAGCAATAACCTTTAATGACCTTGACCTTGACATGTGTTATTAAGATCATGATCCTGAACAACATTCAAAAGATTTTAGTGATTGTTCGGATGCCAGTGGTACTGTAACTTTCAAACTTTATAATTCGAAAAGTGCTTAATAAAAAAATATTTTATTATAGTATTTTGAAAAACTCTAGAGATAAGCTATAAGAATATGTAATAAAAAATGAGGGATTCCATTAAAAAAATTTGAAGTGACCTTTCCCTGACCTTGACAGCGCTATCCAAAGTCAAATCAATAGTATATCAATATTTTATGTCCCCCTTGAAATCAAACAACTTTTGTTTGTAACATTTTTTTGTATCTATCATAGTTTTCGAGAAATCTTAATGGATCATTTAAAATGGGACATTTTGTATATACGTACATCATCTATTATTTTTAAACTTGAATCATTATTAATTTCTACTATTATATTTTCCAATTATCTTTCTGATCTTGTTCTACATTTACAAAAGTTTATAACAAAAATAAAAAACATTAAAACTGTACGTTCTATGTATAAGTGTAAACTAAACCATACACTTTTACTATAAAACATTAATAAACAATGATAACAAGTCCCGTACCATCAATAAAAATGTCAAAAAAATCAATTTGAATACAATGTAAAATACGCAATAAAACATAAATAAAAACAATACTTTTCCTGATAGCTACGTACGTTGCTGTGAATTTGGTGTCATATTGTCGAAAACAAACTAAATCAATTTCAGCAAATTAAGAACAAGGTGAGTGAATCATTTGCCCCAGAATTATATCATTCCATTTTAAAATGTGTTGTTCTCAATACTGTGGAAATATTGCTGCTAAGTTGCCTTAAAAGAACGAAATGGCAAAAGTTTTCCATCAATAGACATTATTTTGCTGACAACAGTTGCTCTCAGTTTGCTCTGAATATTGACAAAATGAAATGTCTCAAAAATGCCCACATGTTGCTGAATACATATTAGTGAATATTCAATTTTCAGTATTATCACAGCAACAAGAAAACTTGTGCTCAGCATTACATGATTTTACAAAACATTCTTGGCTATCAGGGTTTGGTTTTATATTTAAATTAATCTTTTGCTATCTTTCACATCGATATATTTCGATATATTGATATATTTGAAATGATTAAATTAAATCATTTACTTATAGTCTTAATTTAATAAAAACAGAGAAAGGAAAAATCATTGCAAGAAATGTGAGATTGTGACATTAAATAACATTAAATCTTTAAAGCGTTCTCTAATTATAAAATCATTATCAACTTTTATGTCTTTTTTTTTAAAAGTATCGAAAAAATTGTTCACGATTTTTTTAAAACTCAATCTCTTCCAAAACAAATGGACAATAGACTTACCATTTTTTAATAATTATAATTTTATCAAAAATTATGAACAATCAAAAGCGCAAAAAAACTAATATTTTTTCAAATTATACTTAAAATTCAGAAAAACTGATTTAAAAAAACATCGAGCAACAATTTTTTAAAGTTATTTATACATATTAAAAAAATAAAAATAAAAGATTCAAATATGTCAATCCAACGATGAGAAAAAGAAACGTAAAAATAGTTTTGTTTATGATTTCGTAACTACACCTTCTTTCTTAAATAATAGGTAATCGCAATATTATCGCACGTATACGTATATTGCTTCACATCATTATCTGAGTATTACTTAAACGCTTAACAAATTGATACAATTCTTTCACGCAAGTGTTTTTGTCATTCTCGTGCATCACAGAAATAATAAATCAAATACACTCCTTCCCAAAATTGAAGGATCACCTATTTTGATCGCTAAAAAAAAAAGGCAAATTTCAAAAGAGTGTAACTTCATCAAAAATTATCGTAACAGAATGATCCAAAAAGCATTTTACAGCTTGAAGTCTCTACTTTCGAAATCCATAATTCATTAAATGACTTACTGATTCTTTGCAAAGCTGCACGAATGCAAATGGAGATGCATCAAATCTAAA